ATATCTATGGTTCTTTATTTAGTCAACAGAAAAGAGCAGAATATGTTAAAACTACCATTAAAAACTGCAGGCTAGGTGCTGAATCACTACCTCGTGTTGTTATGGATGGTGCAGCCACACATGAATGAATCATTACTCTTACATTAGCTGTTAGCAGTGTGTTACAGTTCCTCTTTCATGTGCTTTATTCTTCTGTGCTGGGAAATGCTTCATTAAAAGTAAAAATGTTAATAGTAGATAATGCCATTTTAAGACTTTTTTCCTTTGCTTTTAAATTTAGAATCACAAAAAAGCTTGAAGAAAGACGAGAGGAGAAAAGGAAAGAAGAAGAACAGGTAAAGCGAAAATGGGAACTGCTTGCAGTATTTAGACACCCACATTTGAATAAATGCTTAATTGCTTTTTAAACGAATATACTTCAGTCTTGTACCACTTACCCAAGGCAATTTTATGGTCTCATTTTTATTGTCTCTCTTGTTTATTCAGAAAGAAATAAAGAAAGAAATAGAAAGGAGAAAAACTGGTAAAGAAATGTTGGAGTACAAAAGACGTCAGGAAGAAGAACTGACAAAACGAATGTTAGAGGAAAGGAACAGAGAGAAAGCAGAAGAGAAGGCAGCTAGAGAGCGTATCAGGCAACAGATTGCGTTGGTAATTTCTTCATTTGGAATGACAGCTTGCTGCTTCTTTCTTGCAAGGGCTGCTAGTACAAACAGGATACATTTTCTCACTTGGTAAAATGTTGAAAAATCTTCAGTTTTTCTGTTTGGAGTCTCTGTGGCTTTGCATGGTGACAACTTATGCATTTTAGTAGCATTTGCTGTGAAGCTTCTACTTTTATATGCATAACGATGATGACTGTGAGAATTAATACATTAGCTTTTTTTTCTATGCAGCTTGAGCCCAGTGATGAATTATAATTAAACATTAAAAAATTGCAATTCAAACTGAGATCTGAAAGGGAAGCTCAGGAAATACTTAATTGTTTGAAAATGGAGTTGTTGGTTTGGGTTTTTTTTTAGGTTTGCATATATAGGTGTTTATGTATGTATATGAACAGTTCACAGCTGAAATTCCTCTTTGTTTCCAAATTTTGCCTAGAACATGTAGAACTACAGCAATGTGACTTGTCATAGATTTTTCCCTTTCTCTTCACTGGGAAGTTGCACTATCATGGAAGGCTATCTGATTACTTGGATGAAGTAATTCATTGAAAAGTGTATTTTATGTTTCCTAGGGACAAGAGACAGTCCTGTTTGACAGTGAATACAGCTTTGCAGCACTGTTGCCTTTCCTCTGTGCCACTTACTTTGAGCGGTTGGGTTCTCAGTACAGACTGAGGTTTTTGAGTATTAAGTTAAGGTGCATAGTGAAAATGAAGGTTTATGTTTGGCCTTTCCTAAGGATCGTGCTGAGAGAGCAGCTCGCTTTGCGAAATCAAAGGAAGAAGCAGAAGCTGCAAAAGCTGCAGCTCTTCAGGCTAAACAGGCTGAAATGGAAGCCAGAAAAGAAGCATCTCAAAAGGAGCGAAGGTGAGTAGTTTTAGAGAAAGCAGAAATGTGTCCTCATGGGAAGAAAGGTTAAAAAAATCTTTGCGTTAGCATTAAGAAATTTCATAGTATGTCCTAACCTATTAATTGATGCTATGCTGGTGTGTTTGAATACTGACATAAAAATTAGCTTTCTTTTGTGATATTAACTCATGGCTATTTCCATCAATGTTATGTTCTCAGATAACTTCCATCCTTTAGACATTCCTGACAATGATACATTTGCTTCCTGATCTTTGATTTGAATACCAGGTATGATGGGGCTAGGTAGGGAACTACATGAGGTGGCTGTGTCAGAACTACAGTGGAGAGTGTGCTGCTGACCCAGCTGGGTGCACAGCTGGCTTGGATTCAGCAAGGCTTGTTTATGCACATCAGCATTAGAGTCAGATGTGGCATCTGTCCTGCCTGATGCTACTGTTTCAGAAAATATCTTAACTTATGGAGGCCTTAAATAGTTACTGAACCACTGTGAATCAAAACCCCAGAAGAAAGAGCACGGTGCAGGAGTAACCTGTTAGATAGCTGAATGTAGCATTACCTGCCAAGCTAGAGTGAATACCTGTGCCCTCATAGTGTAACTCCCAAAAAATCCAATAGAAGTAATGCAGGCTACACAAAATGCGTGTGGTTTATGTTTCCTTCTGATATTCATTGTTATGTGTGATTAATACAAGCATCTTGTTTGAATACTGATGAGTCTGGTGAAACGCAGAGATGCATGGTGGTATATAAAGAAGATGGTTATCAACTGCGAATCCAAATCCATAAGCTATCTGAACTGCCATAAATAAGATGGCCGCCCCTCCCTTCCACACCTGAGTACTGCCAAGCTAAAGCCCCACGAGTGTTTGTGATTGTTAATAAACCAACTGACCATGGTGAATGTCCTGCAGTGCAATAGCCAGGATTCAGTTCCGCCTTCCAGATGGATCTTCCTTTACTAACCAGTTCCCATCTGAAGCACGGCTGGAAGAAGCGAGGCAGTTTGCTGCACAGGTAAATCAGTGTTTCATTTTCTCAGCTACATGCTAATTACAGATGAATGTAGCAGCAACTAGTTGAACATGGCAGAATCATTGTTAGCTGCTTTCCTTTGTGTTAATTTGAAGTGAGTTTTGGTTAAAAGTTCTGCTGTTCTTCATATGAAGATGATTGTAATTTTGATAAGAACTCTTGGTCAGTAAGGCAATGTGTGCTCAGCTGGCAGCTCTGCAGTAGAAAGTGAAAAGTGAGCAGTTAGTTTTAACTAAAATGTTTTCTTTGTGTTTTCACAGATGGTTGGTAATGCTTATGGCAATTTTTCTCTGGCGACAATGTTTCCCAGAAGGGAATTTACCAAAGAAGATTATGGAAAGAAATTACTGGAGTTAGAGTTAGCACCCAGTGCTTCTGTAGTGCTGCTGCCGGTAGGTGTTGCTTTGGGGTTGGCAGGTGCTTCTGGTCAGCCATTATAAAACTTGTTTGAATTCTGTTCTTTACTGTCTCTAAGACATATTGCAAAATCGGTATAATTTCTGTTTGGACTAATTAGGAAAGGGATTGACAGAGATATTTGTTTATCGTGGAACCAAATGTGGTCTTTTCTAGTGTCTGTTGAGCTGCTTCTAAATGACGTGTGAAATACTCTGCCTAATGGGTACAGCTGTAATACCTGACAAGTTTGCTTTTGGTGCTCGCATCCAGGCAGGACGACCTGCTACTTCTGTTGTTCAGGCTTCAGGCGGTGACCTGTGGAAGTTCTTGGGCACAATACTTTATCCCCTCCTCGCAGTGTGGAGATTTATTAGCAACTTTCTGTTTACGAGTCCACCCCCCTCAGAATCTACTGTGAGAACAGTCCATCAGCAAGAGCATTCGAATCCCTCAAACTCTAACAACGTTGAGCAGAGCAGGTAATCAAAGCTGTTCATGGGAGCTGTCTCTAAGCACTTGCTAGAATTGTCTCAGTCTTAAATTATTGAACTGAACCATATCTGTTCTTTTATACTCGTTGCTCTGTCCTTGCAGTGTTGGGCAACCACCCTTCTGTGTGGCTGAAGGATAAACTGGGGGCAGGCAAACTGCGTCTCAGCCCTGATTAAGCGATCCTGGTTGTACTTGTGTGATTAAGCAAGCCCTTTACTGCTTGCTTCAGTTTCCAACTACAGTGTAGGAAAAACAAACAAACAAACAAAAAAAAAAACACAGATAGTTTTGCAGCCAGTAATGAACACAGAATTCAGCTGTAGCTATGAATATGGGTTTCACTTGAGCTGATACTGTTTGGAAGATAAAAATTTTCAAAACGTAAATTTTGAAGATGTAAAGTTCTCTTATGGTGTAGTTACATAAGGAACACGAGCAACTGAAGTCGATCAGAGAGTTGAGGTTTTGTGTTGGAAGAAAAATCTTATACCGGAGCTATTTCACATGAAGTAGGCACGTATCACCTCAGTGCCAGGAGAACCAAAGTTCTGTTTGACTACTAAATGCCATATTTGTAGCTGGGTACCATTCCCCAGGGAAAGAAAGGGCTGAGGAAGCCTATTTTTGGGGATAAGAGAAGGAAGGATGCTCTACTTACACACTGCCTTTTGTACCCTAGGCAAACTGTCAGGAAAAGAGTAACAGAAAAACGAGGCGAAGACTTCAAAAAAGAAGGCAAAATATATAGACTGAGGACTCAAGATGATGGAGAAGATGAAAATAATACTTGGAATGGAAATTCTACACAACAAATGTAGTTTTGAGTAATTGCAGTAATGAGTCAGGCTCTTTTTTTTTCCTTATTTGATTTAAGTCATCTAAAGCTTCTGGAGAAGTGGGGCTTCTTTCTCACCAACTGAATTACTTAATTCTTATTCCTACAGTGGAGTATGGAATAAAGTTGCCTATTATTTCAGAACAATCAAGTGGGTGTACTGTGGCTTAAGAAGTCAAGAGTTGAAAAGATTGAAAATCTCCATCAGCTTTCATAATCATTTCCCTACTGCCATTAATAAGGCGCTCTTTAATCTTTAAATATTCTGCTACATAAATTTAAGCACCAGGTATTAATATGAAGGCCATAGTAGGGAATGACTGATTTAAAATGAGGGTGTCAGAAGCACTATAAGTAGCAAATCAGGTAACTAATTTATGTTTAACTTTTTTCTTGCTTCTGCAACTGCAAGCAAAACCTTGTAGTTTTTAATTCCCCAAGCACTCAATAAACTATTTTCCAGAAAACATGGCTGTCTTTTCTTGTAACATTCCTCTGAGGTGCATAGTCACAAAGAAGCAAGCGGCTAGACTTACAGGCTGATATTTAAAATACAAGTCACAGTTGTTTCAGTTTACATGACCTTACTTGGGAGTTCCTGTTGAAATCTGGTAAAAGTAGTGTGAAAGTTTTTAGTGTCTGAAAAGGTGGTGTGGGAGAAAACCCATTTCTTTGTCACATGAAGTGGAAACGTTGAGAAGAGAGACTGCAATACAAGAGCGCGGAAACTTTTATTTTGAAGGTGAGGACAGGGCTTTCACATATGAAGAATGCTGACTTGTCTTCCTCCCCGGGTATTGAGCATTTATATTTTTTACAGTTACAGGTGTTCAGTGCTGCTGCAGACTTCTTTGTAAAGGAACTTCAGTAAGTATTGCACTGTTCAAATGTAAAGGCTTAGTGCTTTTGCTTTTGTTAAAAAATAACTCATGATAAAATTGAGAAAATACTATCGATGAAATGAAGGAATGATGGGGGGAACCTGCACAGTAGCTGCAATAGAACAGTACATTCTGCTATCCCTGTTTGTGCCAGTGTTGGCACTAGCTTGTCTTCGAAAGATTAAGCAGCAGCAGAGCTTCGTGGGATGCTCTCAGATCCCTTGGAAAGACAAGAAGGATCCAAGGGAAGATCATGAAGGAGGGCAGATGAAGGTTTAGGCTCAGAATCCTTACACAAATTGGAACAGTCAATTTTGACTTGAAAAAAATTATCAGTAGTAGCTGGAAAAAAAGTTAGTGTTTTTTACTTCATATTTTAAGCCAACAGCAAGATTGGAAATCACCTCCAAGGCAAGATACTGAGGTGCAGCAGTATAAGCCCCAGGTATCTTTTTCAGTACTACAGAGTACGGTTCTGTAGGCATTCTTTGTTAAGAAAAAAAAAAGCATTTTAGCAAGTAGAGATACTGTTTCAATCCCTTCCACATATTCAAATGAATTACATTTTACATTTTAGTAAGTTCTATGGATGATTGTTTATGAGATCTTTTGGATAATGTTCCATATTTGTATGAAATAAGTGCCAGGCCCAGTGCTCCAATTCCAGAAAGAGCAAAAAGCACATACAGTGCTGTTTCTGCACTGTGTGATGTTAAATCTAATCCCAGAAAGTGCACACTGGCAGCCAGTCCTGGTGCGGTGTCTGGTATCACTGTTCATGAGAAAACAATAAGAAGTAGTTAGTACATGGCTTGTCAGGAGCATTTTCCTGTGTACATGTGCATCACTTCTTCCTCACTCTGCATGGCTTTTGAGCGTGGCTCTTCAGTGCTCTGGCAGTAGCTGTGGGTCTCAGGGAACAGCAGTTGACACAGCTCTAGCTCAGACTAATGGTACAGCTGAGGGCTTACAGTGAGCTGCTGGGGCTGAAGGAGACACAAGTAATTCCTGATAGAAATGCTGATAGAAAATATCCTTTTAAACACCCAAACTGAAGTGGTTGTGGCTCAGTTAATATACTTAGTCCAGAGATCACAAGACAAAAAAGAATATTACCCAAGGCTTCTTAGAGAGTAGTCAAAATCATTTCTAAGAAAAATGCAGTGCAGGAGTGCTGAATGGGTGGGATGTGGAAAACGTAATAGAATGCAATAACTTTTTTTGTCTGTTTTGAGGACAGATGCTTAGCTAGGTGTTAGATTTTATGCTAACATAACATTCTGTTTTGGAAACAGAAGTGACAGTATGTTCCGCATGAATGTCTTCATTAATAAAGGCTGGTGATTAGGCAGTTTACTACCCCAGCTCTTCAAAAGAATACCGCAGAAAATAGTCTTTTAGGATGACACATCATGGAAGTGCAAATTCTGCTGCACCACTTACCTTCAGACTCCGTTTCCAGACAGGGATGTGGGCCTGCTGCAGGATCTGGAAAGCCATTGCAGCTGATGATCTGTGAGTAGTACCTGGCAGAGGCCTTGGGGAGCCGTGGCAATGTGGGATCCGTGTGATTCACATAGTAGAACCCAAACCTTTCATCAAAGCCTACTGCCCACTCAAAGTTGTCCATCAGTGACCATGCCGTGTAGCCACGCAGGTCAACACCATCAAGCACGACAGCTGTTAGCAGGAGCAGGCACAGCAGGTTAGTTGAGCAGTCAGGTGACAGGAGTCACCAGCAGGCCAGCAGTGGTGCAAACAGGGCACTACAGAAGGGCACACTGAGTGCAGTGCAGTTACTGCCACGTTTATCTCACCATCTCCCTGTCCCTACCAGTTGTGTGTTGTTACAGCTAGTAACGAGCCAGGGCAGCTCAGCCAGCCCATGAAGACTGCTTCTGCTGGCTCCAAAAGTCAGAGCTTTCATTCAAGAAGTGAAGGTTTAACAGAATGATGAGTATTTAAATGTGTTTATGGGGGGGGGGATCTGTGCTGCTCAAAGTAACAAGTAGTTGAACAGCTGGCAGTCAGCTCCCTCTAAGGCAGACAAACAAGCTTAACCACTGCTTTAAGCAAAACAAGGGTTTTTCTGTGCATCTGTTGTGAACGAGGTACAGTTTTTAGAAACAGCAGTAGTTAGGACTATCTAGTTTAACCACTAACCCGTCAAGTAATGGAACCCTCTCTTGTCAGATGCAGCTAAATAAGGAAGCTGCCTTTATCTTACTTCTGTTAAACCCATGGTTTGTTCTTCCTTTGGATCACTCTGCAAAAAGTTCCCTGCAAAAAGTCTTGGCCAGCAATGATCAGTTTCTGCTAAAACCCAAAGGCTTTCAACATGGCTGCAGCGTAAACCTGTGTATAATTTACAAACATGGTGCCAGGGATCTGTCAGCTCCTTACAAGTTGCTTTGCTCAGCAGCATCCCCCAACAAGACTGACGTGCAGCTTTAAATGAGCAATCTTACCTTTCAGCGCTTCGTTAATGTAGTTCTGATAGTAATGCATTCGCCAAGTGTCATTGAGATCTATGGCTCCTCTCTCTGATATCCCATTTTCAGTCACATAGATAGGAGGGTTGTTGTACTCTTCCTTCATCCACCTCAGGAGCTTTCGGAAGCCAAAGGGCACCACCTTTAGCCAGGAGGAGCCAGAGTTCAGCCAGCTGCGGTCGGCTTCTGAAGCAACACCCCTGCAGAAGAGCACACACTGAGCACAGCACAGCCCCAAGCCTGGCCCTGCATTACTGCTCAGCTGGGAAATCTGACACCAAGCTCTATAGAAAAGGGCACCCAGGTGCAAGCTGTGAAAAGCACCGAGCTGGGGGGAGGTGAAGAGTGCTGGTGTTCACAAGCCCCCAGAAAACACTTCTCTTATTTTGTTTTAAAGTTATATTCTGCCTGGAGATAAAAAGCTTCACTTAATCGCTTCACGGTTAAATTTACATTTAGCTGTTTGGCTTTAAACTTAATGAAGTTTACTCTGTGTGGGGGGGGGAAACAACAACTGTTTAAACAGCAAATGGAGTAGTAGTATCTGTAAACCAGGCCACTTTCCCATTTCAAACTGCAGACTGGATGCAGGAAAAATGATAAATGCAGCTGATACCAAATGCTTATGAGACTGATTCCTTCATTTTTAGATGCTCAAGTTTTCCTTGTTCCGTCTTAACAATTCAGTCAGGTCATAACAAAGTAGCTGGCCTATTCTGAACACAGTATCACAAGTACTGTCTGGGGCTTTTTTCCCTAATACTGGTTGTAACAGCTTAATATGAATGTCTCATGGCTTTATTTTCTATCAGTGTACATTGCTCAGTTGGCATAGGCTTCCAAATGTGCATATTTTACTTGACCAACAATTTACAGTCATCTTACCTGTCAGAATCATACGATGGAATAGCAGTAGAATACTCATACTTGTATGTTAAAACTGTAGTATAATGATTTAGACCAAAGTAGTCATATGTGCCTTTAATTCTTTGCTTTTCACTTTCTGTAAATTCTGGAAGTCTGCAACAGCAAACAAAAAGGCACAAAGCCATCAAAATGCAATAAGCACAAAAGAAGGTACTGCGATCTTTCTAGAGGAACATCAGAAAAATCCCATCCATTTGTTATTAAAGCACAGACAGGGTAAAACACAAGCTTTCCTTTCCTTATATGTGTCTAGAAAGAAAGAAAAAAGGAAAAATATTCCTAGCAGAACACTGGCAATGTGATAGATTTAAAAGTAATGAGAAAGACAAATAAATATAATTCAGAGGTGTGAATGAGGCTCAGTGCTTGAGTTCAGTAGTACATCATTTTAAGAACAATTAAAATATATTTGCCCCAGGCAGACAAAGCACTACATATAGTGCATTACATTTATTATATCACTCTGAGCTGCCAACATGCTGCCCCCAGGGTAGAAGCTTGGAGAAATCTCTTTTATATTAGTAAACTTAATTTGCAAGAAAGGTAAAGAGAGAAAAAATATACAATTAGTTTTTCTGTGAGACTGCACTAAGATTTTTATAGTGCCTTTTTCAACAGAATACTTCCTTCTTATCAGCAAAGCAGGTTTTAGCTCAGCAAGTAGAAGCAAAGCAAGTTTGTGCCCGCACTCTTACCGGGAGCTGCTCAGACCCTGGGCCAGGCTGCGTTCCCGAATCCTCGTCTTCATCACTTCATTGTAATCGCCGTTTTTGAAAATGGGATGAGCAAACCAACCGATGTAGAACTAACCCAGGAAATAAGGGAGAAGGATAAATTACGGATTAAAACTAGGATTTAACTGTTCCTCTCCATAGGCTGCATTATGTATAGTAGATGGCCCTATAATGAGCACACAGATACGCAGGAATGCCTGTATTACGGCAGCAAACTTAACGAGCAGCCTAGAGAGCTGTGACCAGATTCTTCTCTACCTGTAAGTATTGTCTGGCAGCATCAAAATCCTCCTGTTTGTGGGGGTTCCTTGGCTCAGCCCAGTCAGTGTTGATGGTGATAGAGATCAGCCCTCCTTGTTTCGCGCGGTAAGTCTCATTGTAGAGGTGCCAGGCTTCTGCATGGGCCTTGATTAGGTTGTGCCCCACCACATAGGGGGCTCGCCCAGGCCTAACAGAGATGCCTGCAGGAACAGCACAGACACTGCAGCAGCAATTCCTGTTTCCAATCTGCTGCTTCCCAGCTTAACACCCAGGACATGCAGAGCTGCCCACCAGTAAATGAACAAGCATGCAGTACCTGGTGCCTTTGAGCCCAGCCATGGGCTGAGATGTACGTGACAGCAGGTCTGCTGAAGGCACAGCTGTCATGCACAGGCTGTGGGGAACCCACATCACCCCCCTGCCCATGCTCTGCTGTCAGCACAGAGAGCAGAAAGCTGTGTGTTCAGGCCAGATCCCAATCCTTCTCTTCTCAAAAATTGTGCTCAGTAGTCTTACCTGGAGCAGCTGTGTCAATGCCATAGCCAAAATATGCAACGTTGTAGGGTTCATTGATGGTTATCCAAAATTTCACTTTGTCTCCCAATCTCTGGAAAAGGAGCTCAGCATATTCCTTAAACCTCTGAACTATGGTATCATTCTCCCACCCACCGTTGTCCTGCAGTGCCTGCGGGAGGTCCCAGTGATAGAGAGTGACCTGTAGGGAACGGCAATGAGAGAAAGGGCTCAGCCGGTCATTGATTCACTTTCACAATGAAGGACAAGATAACGGCCTTGCTTGCAGGCATAAGCCCAACTCCATCTGCATTTTTCTAACAGGCACATACAAATCTGCAGTAACCCCAGTGCTTTCTGTCCTGCAGTCGTTTGAGGTCATAGCGATCACTTGCACACTCTGATAAATGCCACTCTGCCAGTGTTCCAGTTCCTTTAGTATGAGGGGGAACGACTCAAACTTCAGGGCCTGCCCAGCTGTCAAGATGAGTCTCTCACTTTCAGTCACACTAAAGCCTGCAATAATCATGTGACAGCAGGAATTCAAGTCAGTAAAGAACAGCTGCTGCTACACTGATTCTCAAATGAAGCACAGTGCAGTACAACACCTGCTCTTGAGGGATCTTGAACAGCCTGGGAATTCATAAGGACAAAGAACTTCCCAGTAATTCCAACACAGGAACCGCACAGGCAAATCTGAAAGTGGGGATCTGATCTTTCAACATCAGGATAATTCTCAGCTCCTGCACTCTGTTGGATTTCCAGTCCTTTTTTACAGTTACCTGAGGCGTAATATTGGCTGCCAGAAGAGCATCAATTAGCCTTTCATAGTAGTTCAATCCCATTTCATTGACGTATCTGGTGGTCCCATCTGGGAGAACACGTGACCAGGAGATTGAAAAGCGATAGTGAGACACCTTGAGGCGTTTCAGCATTTCCACGTCCTCCTCAATCTTGTGGTAGCTGTCACAAGCTACATCTCCATTGTCACCATTGCTGATTTTCAAAGGAGTGTGAGAGTATTTGTCCCAAATGCTAAGTCCTTTCCCATCTGCTCTCCATGCTCCCTCAATCTGTAAATGAAGATGGGGGAGGGAAGGGAGAAATCATCAGTAAACTCCAAATTGACATCTTGGCCTAGGAAAGAATTCTGCCCGTCAGACTTTGCGGCACCCCATAACATTTTGGCTTACGTGTAAGCCTTGAAACAGTATCATTTTTTGCTGTACTAAACTGGTAAGGTCTCTTGGGCCTCAAGGCACAGAAGTACTGCCAAAGTACAATGTCAAAGGAAAGGTGTTGTTTCCCTTCAACCTGCTGCTCGGTGTTTGCTTCCCCTTGTGAAATCTCTGCTGCTTTCTCAATTTCCGTGGTATAACCACGCCATTATAAGGGAAAACTTTGAGATGTTTAAGGCAGTTGGTACAGTAACCCTCAAATCACCATAAAACCTAATGTAGAAGCTGTGTCTCATCCAAAACGAATTAACTGTCCATGAGTGTTTGAAGAGTCAGTCTTTGTTTCCTAACCTGATATGCAGATGTTGCTACACCCCAGAAAAAGTTCTTTGGAAACTCTCCATATAAGAATTCATCTTCTTTTGGCAATGGGATACCATTGTTGCGGATGATTTCTGCGTAGTACACAGCCGAGCGCCTTGGGGTTCTTGGCCTGTTGGGATCATCAAAATCAACCTCGTGCAATCCAAATCTTGGCTCATAACCATTCAACCATTCAAAGAAATCCATAAAAGACCACGCATTGTATCCTCTCAGATTAACACCGTCCAGTTTGTAAGCTGAAAGACCAGAAACAATGGGAGAACATCAGTGATGTTTCACACATATAACAAACCACAAGGAATTCACTTGCAAACACATACACACTTTCAGCTTCATCAAGCTACCTCTGAACAAAAAGGACCACAACAGACTTCACATCTGGAGGATACAGAATACAAATGGCTACACAAAGGAGATCATAAAAAAACCCACTACGTTTATATTGCGCTCAGAATATTAAAAGAACAGCAGAAGATGCTTTTAAAAACGACACCTCAGAGGAAAATTGTGACAGGAATCTAGAGGGGAGATACACAACACAAAATAAAAGCAAACATTTGTACCTTTTAAAGCTTCATCTATGTATGTTTTGTAGTAAAGTATCCTGGTTTGGTCATCAACATCCGATTCGGTCTTTAGCCCCACTCCGTTCTCAATGATGTACATTGGGGGATTCCCATACTCTTCTTTGATCCAGTTCAGCAGCCTCCTCAGCCCCCAGGCCACAGCCCGATGGCCATCAAGAGCTGAGGTAGGCCAGGAGCTGTCAACATCTGTTGATATTTCCTGGTCGTACTCATAAGAGAAGGGATTCAGGCGGGTTGTTGCATGGGTTACAAGTTTGGCAGTGTAGGTGTTGAAACAGAAAACATCTGCTGTGCCCCTGATGTACTCACGCTCTTCAGCTGTGAAAACTGGTAGGCGGGACGATGGCAGGTTTTGGAGCTCACTCCTGTTCCCAACTTTCCATTTCATGACCTCAGGGTAGTCCCCATTTTTGAAAACTGGATGTGCAAACCACCCCGCCAAAAACTGCATGTACCTGTCTGCAGCTTCTAAGTCCCTGGGGTTGCTGGGTGTCTTTGGCTCAATCCAATCTATATTGAGACACAGAGAAATGATTCCTCCCTGACTCGCTCTGTATTTGTCATCGTACGTGTGGTAGACTCTGGCGTGGGCTTTCAGTAAGGTGTGTGCCACTTCGTAGGGAGCATCACCAGGATTATTGACATTGGGTGGGAATTCCCCCGTCCCATAGCTAACCCAAGCAATAACTTGGGGTTCGTTGAAAGTAAGCCAGAACTTCACCCTGTCCCCAAAGGTCTGGAAACAGAAGTCTGCAAAACTGTCAAACAGTTCAATGAGCTCACTGCTCTCCCAGCCACCAATGTCCTGGAGAGCTTGTGGCAGGTCCCAGTGGTACAGCGTGACGATTGGAGTGATGTTGTTTGCGACCAGCCCATCAATGAGACGGTTATAGTAATCAACACCATGGCTGTTTACTGAATTGTTCCTTCCGTTGGGGAAGATTCGAGGCCAGGACAGAGAGAAACAATAGTTCTTTACCCCCAAGGCTCTCAGCAGGTAAATGTCTTCCCCTACCTTGTTGTAGCTATTACAAGCTATATCTCCAGTGTCATTGTTTTTTATGTTTCCTGGCACATGGGTGAAGTTATCCCAAACACTGGGTCCTTTGCCATCCGCATCCCAACCTCCCTCAATCTGGTATGCAGAAGACGACACACCCCACGTGAAGTCCTCTGGGAACGTCCCATAAAAGTACATGTCTCTTTCAAAGGCTGTTTGGGATGAAAACTTCTCCCAGACAACCTTTGACTTGGAGGGAACTTCTGATGCTGGTAGACTCGGCAACTTTGATGGTGTGGGTGGGCCAAATACCACCGATGCAGAACTTCTGTCTGAGACTTGGGACGGGAAACCATTGTTTTCAATAACAGTGGAATAGAAATAAGCACTTGCCCTGGGAGTCCTTGGTCTGTTGCTATCTTCAAAATTCACATGATGTAGCCCAAATTTTAGGCTGTAGCCCTCTGGGCCTTCAAAGCCATCAACCAGGGATCGAGCAATGTATGACTGAACATCAACTGCATCCAGTTTTACCGCTGTCACAGAAACAGTACAAGACTCTGTTAATCACTTGAACGCTTTCTGAATGCAGCAGAGCAGAACACAAGCACACAGCTGAGGATAACGACAGGGTGACAGCCAAACATCTATGAATTGTGTTTGGGTAAAAGAAAACAAAACAATTAGAGTATTTGGCAAGAAAAGCCATGATCACTATCATAGGAGCCAGTCAAAGACTTAGTGATAAAAACATACCAGAATGTAAGTATTTGAGTAAAGCCCACTTGTGCCATGAGTACTCCCTTCCCTATGTTCTAGCTTTCAAGAACAACTCATCAGCTTAAGTATACAGTGCTCTTTTATATTTACCACTGTAGTTAGATTGAAACATAATATGTATGTAGTGCTCGTCTAGCTTCCCTTGGCACACAAGAGTTCATGTCTGCAGGACACAATACTTAGTACCATCAGAGACAAGTCTAGCATCCTTCCTCATACTGCCTACAGTAAAGCACACTCTTTCTTATTCCAGAAAAGTTCACTTTCCATAGGCAGTCCATGTTCCTTTTGCAGAGGCAAAACAGCAATGCTAAATGCTGTTTTCTGCAGCTCTTCCATCAGCGTGTTGAGAACTAGGTCAACAGGATCAAAAGCTGTACAGTGATCATCAACATAATGAATACATTATATTGAATATAATGCAGGTTTTGTGATGCTATTGATTTGTGTATCTGAAGAAAGCATACTAAAATATCTATTTAAAATCTCAAATTTCTATACTTGAAAAGGACTTCAGTTACCAGTGTTAATTTTTGTTAAGCTGATACACAGTTTGCAAAGATAAAGGCATGGACTGAATCTTTCCCAAAATAATTGAGATATAAGTATCTCCCTAAAAATTCTAACTTGCCGTGGTGCAGGATGCTATCAGTTAGATCTGCTGAATCAGTAAAGACATCATTCAGTCCCATCTATGAGATCTTTGCAGGTAAGAGCCTGCCTTTAGCCAAATTGTTTTCAAAGGTACTGAAGTAGGTAAACAGTTTTCACCGAGAGACTGGCGTTAGGTTGTATTTGTACCTATGAAAAACCTCTTCCAGTACCTAGACAGAATGGAGAGCTCCATATCTGGTCACTGGATAGGCTGGAATTTATGACACTGTACATAAGAGGTGGCCCACCTCAGGTTACTATACAAATGGTGATGTTTTAAAGCTAATCACTGTGGGAGTGACAGAATAACTAGTTGCCATCATTTTAATTTAAAAAAAAAGAAAACCAAAAAGCATACCTTTTAGAGCCTCATTGATGTATCGGCGGAAATAATCCACTCGCAGAGTGTCATTAATAAGATCCCCGGTGGCTTCTGTTGGCATACCATTTCCTGCTATGTAAATTGGGACCTTGGCTCCTGTATATTCCTGGGACACAAACTTCAGCAGCCTTCTTAATCCCCACGGGACCACGTGGATTGAAGAAGAGGCAGTCGTTGGCCACGAAGGATCGACGTGCAAAGAGAAGTTCCCAACGCTTTCGTATCCAGGTGTGCAGGTACCACTAGCCACGGCACTAACCAGGTGGGAAGTGTAATGGGAAAGGCCAAAAAAGTCTGCCGTTCCTTTCACCCAGGTTTTCTCCTCCTCCGTAAACACAGGCAGCTGCGCAACTGTTGTGGAGCACTGCTGGTTTACTTCCTGGATCTGAGCCTTCAGGACATCTGGGTAGTCACCGTCAACAAATACAGGGTGAGCAAACCAGCCAAGCATGAACTGCAGGTACCTCTCTGATGCCTTCACATCCTCAGAGTTGGTTGGAGTCTGGGGTTCAGCCCAATCCGAGTTCAGCACCAGCCCTACCTTTCCCTGCTGCTGAGAACGGTACCTGTCATTATACAGGTGCCAGACCTTAGCATGAGCCTTGAGAATTGTGTGAGCCACCTGGGGGCAGAAAGCAGAGGAACACGTGTCTCACTGCTTTGCACAACACTGCATTAACACTGCCTTGTGAGAAAGACATCCCCATGTGAAACAAGAGAACTTGACAAAACAAATAATTGTGGGCAGAGAGTACAGCAGGGTTTGGATTAAGTATAAGAATCTGGCTGATTTCAGAACACAAAATAACATCCACAGCATCCATTAGTAATACATTAAGTAATGCATTTGCTTGGGAGTATCATAAGTCCAGAAAGCAAACAACTGTCTCAGATTAGGCTCAAGCATCGTTAAAATTTGCAGAAACTGAGGAACACAACAACGGCAGCTGTAGGATCCTATGTCCCTACCTTGTAAGATGCTATTCCTGGATCGGTGATTCCTGGAGGATGCTCTCCGGTGCCATAGCCAGCATAGCTGATAACCCAAGGCTCGTGGAATGTAACCCAAAACTTGACCCGATCCCCAAAAGTGGCAAAGCAGAAGTCTGCATAGCTTGCAAAAGCATCTATGATACTGTCATTCTGCCAGCCACCAAGAACCTGAAGAGCCTGTGGGAGATCCCAGTGGAAAAGAGTCACCATGGGCTCAATGTTAGCCTCTAGCAACCTGTCAATTAATTGGTTGTAATAATCCACACCCTTGATGCTGATGGTTTCATTGGTGCCAGCAGGGAAAATTCTAGGCCAGGCTATAGAAAACTTGTACAGCTGGGGATGAAGACCTCTAAGCAAATAAACATCATAGCTAGTTTTGTGGTAGCTGTCACACGCCACATCTGTTGTTTGGTTCATGTAGACATGACCTTCGTGCCCAAACCGATCCCAGATGCTCTCTCCTTTCCCATCCTCTGCCCAGGCTCCTTCAATATTAAAGGCACCTGTTGACGTGCCCCAGAGGAAACCACTTGGGAAAACATCTTGCAGGAAAGTATCCCTCTCCAATTCGGACTGGTTCGCAAACATTTCCCAAATTGTTTGATAGGAGGAGCGAGGGGCAGCAATTGGATTCTCTTGTAGAGTATATGTTTTGCTGAAAATAGAATTAAAAAGAGTTACAACCTCAAGGTGGATGCCAGTGCCACAGAATTTGCAGACAAGGAGCATAACTAATTGTTTGCTTCTCATTCAGCTCACATATGCCAGTTAGGGAACAGCCACTTTGTCACCCAACCAATCCAACCTCCTGCCATCCAGCTGGCAGATGAAGGAGAAGTGCAATAAACTGCAGAGCACCTCAAGTGCTATGTATCTCGTGCATTTCTCAGCAGATAGATTTTCAAAATTCATTAAACTAGGTCAAAGACACAAACAAAATCCTTGCAGTGTGCAGCAATTTCACACGCTCACAGGTCTTCACAGGATAACCTAAAACCAATCAATCCTGCCTCACTGGTGCCTAGCTTCTTCCTGTGCAATGACATTCCCTACAACTCTGTAGGCACAACTGGCTTCTCACATAGGACAGTTACTATTTTATGTTTTTAATTTAATTTTATATATATACACATAATATAAATTCATATATGCTATGTAGATGAAAAAAGAACAGTATGCTTGGAATATATGCCTGCTATTACTGTCTTGAAGGTGCAATCTGGGTAACTAAGCATGAAGGAGAGACAGTTACATTTCCTGAAATAGCAGGTTAGAAGATGGCCTGTAGCAGCAAGAGACTGGACAGGGCAGAAAGGCTTTCCCCTGCATTCCTTTAAGCAGCTGACAGCGATTTTACCACTACAGCCGTCTGCTGTCTGCCTAGCACACTTGTTTCTAAAGGATACTAATTAATTACAGTATGTGATTTAATGTGATTTAAGGGAAAAGAACTTTAAGTACCTTAAAGCATGAGATGAGAAGTCCAAGAATTCATTCACATCATATCCAATTGTACGTGCCTTTTCTTTATTAATAGCTGAAAACAAACAACAGATGGATAAATATCACAGACTGTATGACATTACTTGTGCATACAATTACATCTTTTGAAACAAGGCTTTTTTTTTTTTTCAAATAACTAAATAGCTGTTTTTCTCAGATTTAGTATGTTGTGTTGTTTGTCGGTTTTTTCCCCTGGAAAACAAAAACAAAAACAAAAACACCACCACCACAAACCTGTAAGATTATTTAACTTAATAGCAATGGTCTGGAAAGGACAATTACATACTTATCCATTCAGAGCCCTGCTGCAGAACTCTTCTACTTCTTAAAACATGTCACTTACCAGTGACAATGGCAGCTACTGGTACGAATGGATTCTCTTCCAAGGAATCGCAATCAAGGAAATTCAGACTAAAAAGCAATACTTCTATGTCCTTCCAGACTTTCTGCAAAACAAGAATTCAAAGAGAGATTTCTATTTTTTAAAATAGTTATTGGTTTTCCAAAGATGATATGTGGGAAGTTTCCATTTCTTGCTCTTCACTTCTGGCTAGGCCATCGCCCTCTGATTTATAGGGAATAAGTGTCCTGCTACAGATACACAGAGCAAAACTGTTAACAAAGAGCCTGACATGCTCCTTTTCAGGCTGGTAGTGCATATGCTACACAATCGTGAGCAAGGCAGATCATCTCTGTGCTCATCCCTGCAGACACGTGCACCTAGGTGCTGAATGACTTACAACAGTACCTTAGTTGTCTACTACTGCAAATTATCCATGACTTCAAATTCAGCGTGAGATCCCCTCTAAGTCACTTTTTTGCAAAATAAGCTGTTACAGATGGCTTACAAAGTTCAGTAGAACTGTAAGAACAATGATGGATTTCTTCTATCTGCTCTACCCTATCACTAGAGTTTTAACTCCACATCCGTCAAGTTCAGTGTTCATTTTCACACTGCATAATGTTACCTGGAATTCACTCATTTTCAGGTGGAAATCTGTTACATTTCCACACCTGTACTGAAGGCGAAGAGACAGGAAGTCCACTGAATCCTGGAAACAAGAAAGGGAAAATGATCATCCCATTGGAAAATTATTGCAGGCATTCTCTTCAAAACATAGAAGTTGCTAGATGTTTGATACAGGCACTGCTGGAGTAAGAAGCCAAAAAGATACACAGAACCCTGGAAAATACGAGTACAAAGCGGATGCTGTACGAGAAGATGCATTTTGTGCCTTTCCTTCTAAACAAAGCTAAATTTTAGAAGCACTAGAGTTTAAAAATTCATTGTAAGAATATTTTATGCATTTCATATTCCTCATTTCCAATTGATTGTTTAAATTGGCAAGACTGAAAAGTCTCTGATTAATCAGATAGAGAAACCTTTATCGCCGTATGACTCAGGGTGGCCTTATCAACAACCCTTTGGGGAAAGACCATTTCAGAAATCTTTAGTCATTGCACACCACAAATGTTACTTTACTAAAAGTCCACAAGTTCAAAGGAATAGATAGCATTCTTTTATTCAACCAGTTGCTGAAGCTGGGATTGGTATTTAAGCATCTATACTGCTAAAACTGCCAAATATATGAGAGAAAATATGCCTCCATGTTTTTAAATCAGTGCTTACTAGCCAAGAAAGAATGTTGAAGTAATTTTTAAAATCAGAGAACATCATATAATTGAGATAATAAAAAAGTAGAATGTACCACACTGGACAACTAAACTCGTATATAGCTTGCAATACATCACTTAATCCTATGCATAAAAATCAAGTGAAACAAAATCAAATTTAAACTGGAAATAATTCTCATTAAGGTGTTACCTGAAGAGAAACTGAAAGCAGCTCAGATGAAGTCCTATCCAAGGTAAGATCCATTCCTAAAGCGATGGACAGCTTTCCACCTTGGGAAACCAAACCAAACAAAACAAAAGCATGATCCATCAGTAGTGCAGGAAATGCAAATAGAAATAAAATACCACTGTAGGTATTTTTTAATCAAGTAAGACATATAATTTTAAAGCATTTTTTATTATCAAGATACTTTATCTTAAAAGTAACCATCTTGCTTCACAAATGCTTTTTTTTTTTTTCTTTTTTATCTTGTCAGTACATTTCACTTGAAATAAATGAGAGATGCCATTTTAAAGCATAGTCAGTTTTGTTTCACTGGCTTTTATAAGAACATTTTCAAAGTTTTCCACCCTTGGGTAGAAAGCTGGTAGATAAATTGGACCACATTCTTCAGATCTGGACTTCTAAAGATGCATTCCTTGGGAAATATCTTAATGAAAAAGCCAACTCCCATCATGCTAAAGACAGACAGCTACTTAACTGGATGGCAAAATGTTCCCCTCCCTAAAATGGAACACTGGCAATTGCAATTTCAATAATCAGTGACACTGAAACATGTAAGAAGGCCTTGAAAATGAGGTGATTAATCAGGAATTAAGGATTTTTCCTAGACAATACATTTAAGGTTTGATATATAAGCTGTACAAGACTACTGTTATTCCAGGGTACCAACTGGTTTTTAGTAAGGACCCTCAACAAGCACGTAGATGAGTCCTTAGGAGACAAAGCAGGGACAAGTGTGGTAACATCTGTTTTTAAAGTACCAGTTTCTGCTGCTGAAATTAACCTGAGGCTTCTTAACGCTTAAAAAGAATACATGTCAGTATGCACACAGAGATACTTGCCTATGTTCTCCCTGACTACTTTGGCTGTCTTTTTAAGCAAAATGCCATTACTAGTGATTGAAGAACAATTATGAAAATCCATTACTCAAATATTTCTAAGTAATTCTGAAAGCATTGCTGATAGAATCACAGAGATCACACGTAACAAGTTGTGCAAAGGTCATACACAAAAATCCTTCCCCCTGTTCTTACCTGACACAGAGTATTTCTCATGGTAAACTCTGTAAGCTCTTTCATGAGCAGCAGCCAGGGCCTGGACACGGGCCTGGAGGTCACTGTAAGGCAGGCTTCCCAGGAGCTCAGGCAGGTCACTGAAGGTGAGCCACATATCAGCCAGGCCTCCAAAAACATAGAAACTGAGCTCTGCATAGTCCACAAAAAGGTCAGCAAAAGAGCTCGCCTTCCTGCCCGCAGCCACACTATCAGGAGCAGCCTTGTGATGGAGAACGACCACTGGCCTGAGGTCTGCAGCAACCAGCATTTTGAGCAGCTCCTGGTAGCACCGCACTTGAGCTTCATCTGGCTTCTTGGCGTCCCCGTCAGGAAGGATGCGCGCCCACGGCAGGAAGACTTTGTAATGTGTTACCCCAATCTCACGGAGGTGGGAGAAGTACTGGGGCAGTTGGGAAATCACAGCATCTTGCTGACAGAAGTCCTCATGGGCTTCAGACACAGGAGGGTCCAAAGCTTCTTTGGGTAGAACGTGGCTCTGCAGATGCAATCTGTGCGCTGATGTGGTAGGCAGAGGTCCAGCAATGGCAACAAAGTTCTGAGCTGATTCCCCATCTCTCCCAAAGCTAGTAGAGACTAACAAGAACAAGACAACTGTCTTACAAATGAGCTCCATTTCTGGACCTGGCTCACAAACATTGCGTCCACATTATTTATATTATAGTAGGAGTAATATTTAACTGCAGTTATCTGCTATGCACCTAAGTGTTCCCAGAAACAGCTGACACTCAAATGATAACAAATCAGGACTTTCAATTGATAGATGAACAAATAAACAGACGTTCTGGATGCAAAACGTAACAAAAGCAGAATCACCTACTTGGCTGTGGCTAGTGACACCAATGCCTGGTGTCACCAGGTGACACCTTGGCTGGTGTCACCAATGAGGAGGCACATTTGTGCTGTAATTCTTGGGTGCATGAAGGAAATCTGAGAAGGCAGCATCTTACCTCCATTTGGAAAAGTTGTTGTTACAGTTGCTGTTACATAAACTCAAGAAGCAGATACACTGTGTGTCCCCATGCTAATAACAGTATTATTTTATTGCTAACCAAAGTACTTTTTCCTTCAGCCTTGAGAATACTTTATCTGTCAGTAGGGTGAGTGCACAGAGATCTCTTACCCAAATTGCTGCAACAAGGAGATAACTTCACAGCTCTACATGCAAATACAGCAAAATCGAAGAGTTGAGATCGTGTTATTGAGAACCACTATCTGTGCTGCCTAAATGCAGCACAAGTTTCAATTAACTAAACAAAATTCTACATAACTATAAGGAAACTATATTGAAAAACCAGTTGTCTCCCACTTCACCTCCCTTAAAAGCTAGTTTTTGCATAAAACATCAGTGGAATTATCTGGGCAACTTATCATTGCAAAGAAATACTTTCAGTATTATTTAAATTACAGTAGAAACTGTCTCTAAACTTTTGCTTTTACTCACAGTTGACAACCTCCTGCATATACAAAGCCTGTAATTTGTGTACTTGAACTCTGTTCGATGCTCAGGTGACTATTTTATATTTTTAAGGAGCCTTAAAAAACTTGTTGGAACATTGTGCCTGTTTTGAGCACTTAAGCACTCTTTCCCTCCCAGCCACAATGAACTTAACAAGATCGAATAGGAACCTTATATATTGCACCACCTGCTGTTAGTTTTTGAGTACAGCAGTGTTAACTCCAGAAAAATATCCCTCCTCCCTATGATGCATACAGAATTGTAAGGAAAGAGGAAGTAGGAAGAAAACATTTCCTCCTTACCAAAAGAGAGCAGAGGAAAGAAAGAAAGTATAATGAAGAACAAATATCTCCCTGTCCTTAGGGTGAGTTATTAACAACATAGAAAATCACTGCTGCAGGGGGGCAGTTGTTTTTAATAAAATGTAGCTTTAGCTGAGATGCAGTTTATGGGAAAAAAGTTGCAGAGAAATGTTATTGCAAACAGTGCCCAATGACAGCACAGTACAGCTTGCAACATTTATGAGTCTTTTAATTCCATAAATGTAACATCCACCTTTGAAGTATGCATAGTCAGACTAAGGAACATTTGGACTGCAATGATTTACCTCTGCAGACAACAAAGAGAAGTGGGAATCCATGTCCTCTACAGAACCTATGGCTCTTTAGCAAATCTGTAAGGAATTTAGGCTTCAATCTAGAAATATAAGGCAGTTTAAACATTCTCTTGGATTTGTTTCATGCTATTTATATTAAGCACAGTGGGATCACTTGATTATTTAGATATTTTTTTAAATACGATTGTACTTGTATTAAAGGCATTGGTCACAACTCCACAGTTAAAGCAGCAGATGCTTGCAATAAAGCCACTGTCAGAAACCTGGAGGTTTTTGTTTTGATGATTGGGTTTTCTGTTTTAAGAGAAAACGTTTAAACAGCAAAGCCTGGTGCTTCAGGAGTTAGAAATGTTAGAAACACAGGGCATTGGAAAAACAGGAACAGGATACCTAGAGAAGTGATAGTATTTCCCATGCTGGGAACATTCAAGACTCAGTTTGGTACAGGACAATCTAATCGATGGCTCTGATGCCAACAAGAGCTTGGATAAAAGATGTGCAGTGATCCTTTCCAACTTTGACTTTCCAGTAATTTTCTTTTGGAAACCATCACTTTTCTTCCCCATTTTTCATAACTAACAGCTAAACTACCAGACCAAAATACTGGGTGTTCATGCAACTGAAGTACAAAGCAACTCTTAAGTGTCCACATTTGATCTCCACCAGAAATACATACAAAGTAAATCTCTCTCAGAACTGGCACTGGTACGACAGGGAGCTTCCACAAGCCTCTGTTGGGCCTCCATTGCCATAAGTAGCTTACCCAATTCCTTGCTTCCCTGCTTTGCTTCATTTGTCATTCCTAGTTCTATCTCTTCAGTTTCTGGGCTTTTTAAAGTTCAGGAGAAACTGGCTCTAAGGGCTGGCAGCAGAAAAATATGGTATAACTAACTTCCAAATGTTATATCAAACAATAATACAGCACCTACACTATTTACTTAATGGTTGCAAAACAAGGAGGCCAATTTAGTCACTAATTAAAATCAGTTCAGGGTCAGAAGATTAATACATTGAAGTGAGCAAGCATTTGACTTAGTTGGCTTGAACTGACAGTGCAATAAAGATTATTTGGGACTATGTATAAATTACTCATCTAATACAGGCTAACAAAATGAATTCCAAAAGCAATGTATAATGTCACCTTCAGCACAACTCTAGGAACTCCTGATGAAGAAATTCTGCAGTAACATGTGGAAGGCTAAATGGACACATCATGGAGAGGAGGAAGATAATTCCCATTCTCAGCAAACGCAGGATGGTGTACTGGAAAAAGAGACTAAGGTGTAAATCCCAGAGGCTGCATTTAAAAAGTTACACATTTGAAATAGTATTTACCTCTGTAAGTGCATTAAGAGAAGTATTCTGCTGCCTTGGATTGACAGCATTGCTCCCAAAACTTGCTAGCATTCAAATTGGAGTTTGTTATTCCCTTACTCACCAGGAGTTGAAGCACAGATGAGACAAAGGTCACAACATCAACTTACAATCTTTTCTATTAACTCAAATTGCATTCTTGTTTGGTACAATATTAAACTGTTCACAAATTCTTGGAACCAAAAAGCTGAGCCTTGAAATTACAGTAAAAATAACACACCCAAATGTTGACTGTAGCTTTTAACATGCTAAAAGGATCCAATATATTTATGTTCTAGTTTGAAAAGTTGATTTCCTAATACATTACAAAATTCCGTATTCTGTAGTGCAAAAACTTAAGATAAGCTGGAAATTGACATTTTATATATGCTTTTATCTTTCTAAACAAATATTAATATACATTTTTCCACCTTAAATTACAGTTTAACCTCATGACAAACTATTAATGGAAAGGTCACACACAAAAATCCTTCCCTATGCCATCCTGACATCCCCCTAGGGAAGACTGCATGTCCATGGCAGGAAAGACTTGTAGTGTGTGGGAGAGGTGGGAAATCACAGCAGGGAAATCCCAAGACCTTGCTGAGTCACAAGTCATTGTGGGCTTCAGACACAGCAGGGCCCAGAGCTTCTTTGGGTAGGATGTGGTTCTGCAGATGCACCCTGTGTACTGACTGGGAGAGGGCCAGCAGTGGCAACAAAGTTCTGAGCTAATTCCCCATCTATCCCAAAGCTGGTACAGACTGACAAGAACAAGACAACTGCCCCACAGAGCAGCTCCATTTCTGGATCGGACTTAGAAACAGTCAGTCTACACTAGCTGTACTTAAAATATCATGGCATTATTTGAGCTTTCACAAATCTTTCATAGCAGCTGGTATCAGGTTGATAAGAATTAAAAATATCTGAATATTTGTCTTCTAAAATAATGTAATAATCCCATGCTGTACAGCACATAACTGAGACCAATATAAATTTAAGCAGAATTTTCTTATACAATTATCTGTAAACAAATTTACTAATGCACTCCTAAAAACCCCTCACAAACAAAGGCACTGCTCAAGTCACTTACGGGTCAAGACATTCCTCTAGTTGGGAGGGTTTTGCCATCCTGACCTAAAAGCCTTGCTTTGGGCTCAACTGTTTTAAATTTTCTGTTCTATATATGCAACAGGAGCATGCACAGCTTTATTGTATCTAAAAAGAAAAAGCAGGAATCAGTTTTCATTATCTGTTACTGGCATTTAAATACTTCCTAAAACAGCAGCTATCATGGAGCAAATTCTATCTTTGCCAGGATACAAAGGGTTTAGATCACTAATTTTTTAGTCTCAAAACACAGTCGTAGAAAATAACCCCACATACCAGTAACAACAAATCCACCCCCAAACACTGAATGGTCTTTTATTTACGTTAGTAAGAGAAGCAACAAAAGCCCACAGCATAAAAAGTCTACCAAACACAATAAAACAACAATGAATATAAGAAGAAAATTCCTCTCATTTAAAACAGAAGTGCCTACTTCACTTGACACTAAAAAGAGCTATTGCATGAGTCTTCTCTGCATCTGGGTGATGATGGTGAAACCCACAAGTAGTAATTAAATTAATTGATGTTATTTCTTTAAGAATTCCCAGGTCTGCTCAGTGTGTATGATCAACCATACGTCACCAACTGCATACTGGTGCACTCCAAACTAAAGCACTGATGCAAATTTGCTAGCTATACAGCAACCATTGCAAGAATGCAGAAAGAATCCACTTCCCAACATGCCACTAGTCAGTTCTACAGTCCAGCTCTCAACCCTCAGTCCTCCAGCATATAGTTGGGGTTGACAACCAGGTATGGGTCTTCATCAAAAGTCTCCTCTTCTTTGGAACCCCTCAGGCCTGACTGGGACAGTTCGATCAGAATGTGGTCCTGCAACAGAGAAAAAAATGTATTCCAACAAGAACAGAAAGGATTGTTTGTCCTTTTTCAAAAGACATCTCCTGTTTCTACTAGCAGCACCTCTTACTGATGAATTATTTAACCCTTCTACCTGTGAATTCACTCTAATAAGTTCCTGATTTCAACAATTACCTACACATAGCTTGGTTTCTGGGAAGGCTTCATTTTCATTCTTTTAAAAATGGCAAGTGTTTTTTTCTTTCAAAAATCCCAAAATGTTAAATGAGTAACTTCTCTGCAAATACACATTTTGATTCTGGGAAGTAGTATTTTCTACTTCAGAGCTCTGTGTTATGTAAGACACAAGAACTAAGATGTTCTGTTTGTATTTCTGCACGCTACTGCAACCAAAACTAAAGACATGCAGCAAATCAGCACTTACATGTCTATAAACACATAGCAGAAAATAAAACAGCACTTCAAACTCTTACTAATACATGCTTCTAATTCATTTCTGTGTCTTGTCTGTACCTATTTTTAACAAATATTAAACAAGAAAGGCACTTATTCTGCATCAGCCAGCAACATGAGAGCACAAAACGTATTTCTCAACTAGGAAATTCTGCTCAAAATGAATCAGTGCAATGTATCTTAAAGCCTTTCTTCTCCACGCACACATCTTTGTACGCACATAATGTGTAAGTCGGTGAATGACTTTCTCAATGATCTTCTTTTTGTTTATTAGTTCTTCTTCCGATTCGATTTCAGATTCTATTTCCTTCAGATACCAATTAATAAGTTCGCTTTTCTTTAATGACGAGTCATCCTCTTCTGCAAATAAAAGTTATACTTAAAAAAAATCTCACTACAATACCGTTCCACATAATTAGAATAAGCGTTACTACAGTATGATACCTCTCAAATCATGAAAGAAAAGGATTTCTGTGTTAACAGTTATAATGCTGAAAAGATTATCACACAACAGCCTGTCAGGCTCCCTTGCTGTTCTTGAAACATGTTTTGTACAGAAGACTGCTGTATCATGGTTTAATTTGAGACAGATTGAGAATTTCATCCTCCAGCTGTATGCATCCATGAGGTTCACAAATTACACGAGCAGCCCAGCAAACACATCAGACTGAAGCTTCAAGAACAAGCAGCAACGAGGACTTGTAGCACCTTTTTCTGAGTAAGGACGAAAGATCACCATCACACAAAGATTAAGAATTCATCCTTCCCTCGTAAATGTCAGCAAAGAGACAACTCACACGTGGTGATGCTACTCAGTCTGCCAACTTTTTAACAATTCTTACCTTCCTCTGCTTTTCTGAGGTGTAACACAAGAAGATTAGAAATTCGTCGGTACTCAGAGAAGCCCAGCCTAAGAGAAGCTTTGGGTGCTGCATCCTTGTTCACGTCCTCAGAATGGCCACTTATCCCATTCACAAGACCATTGACCCCAGCTGGAGCTTCTGCTTCCCCTGTTTGGACACATGATCAACTCTGTAATGCCTTTCAGCTGGCTCATCTGAGCCACTAAATAGTGCTGCACTCACCAGTCAGGCAAGTGGAGCACACAAGAAGGCTAAAGTAAGAGAGTGAAGGAGCTAAGATTCCTAGACCTTGTGAGAAGAAAAACAGGTGGGAAACTGAAGAGAAGCATACACACAAACAAGGTAAGCTGTAAGAACTGGAGGTACGTTTCCCCTTGGAAAAGTTCTCCACAAATATTTTACCATTGACTCCGTCTTGCTCTTCTTGGTACTCCATTTCCTGCTCATCATCTTGGTCCAGATTGATATCAGGTGTCTCAACTCTAATGATGGATTTATTTAAAAGCCTGAAAGCTTCCTTCACGTGCTTGGGATGAACCTGGGGAAGATTTAAAAAAATACACATTCTGGTAGCTCCAAAAATTCACCCTGATCGTGATAGTCTTTGTACCCATCTCACCTAACTAATTGTGAGCAGTAAAGACCCCACAACTTACATTACATCCTGCTACAAGTATTCTGCATTCACGTAAAGTTATGGAGGAAATAAGCAGCCTGATGGAACGTTTCAGGCTTTAGTTATCATGTGGAGACAACAAATTTTAGTTCATTCAAAGAAAGATCAGCAGAGCATGAAACATGAAAGATATGGCTCAAAACACGGACAGTGAAAAAAGTTATAATTAATGAGATCCTCCTATGGAACTGAAAAGCAAAAACCAGAGAAATCTTTTCTTGCTGAACCATACTAAAAACTGTCTGTTTCTTTCTAAGGTGAATTTAATTAAAAAGAATCCAGTGGATGACCTTATTATACAACCAGTGTGTAGGTTTCTATCACGTGTGTCATGTGCAGCCATACTGCAGTTAAGGGTCATAACACAACATGCATTTCAACTGTGGCTGACAGAGGAAGAGCTCACATCACAAACACGTGCCTGACTGGATCTCTCTGCATACTCTTACGGGGGTTCAGACACCTTAAACAACCCCGGCATTTTAGATTGCTGGTCAGAGCAAACTGTGAGAAACTATAAACTGAGCAAGATTAGAGAAGGCAGCACCAGCAGTCCTGGCTGGTAGTAATCAATAACTGTCCCTCCTCTGTGGAACGATTTGACAGGTAAAAGGCTGAGAGCCCTGATACAACAGTCATGCAAAAATATGCATGTTCTCAACTGGAGCCAATGATCTCTGGCTTTTTGTTGTGTTCTGGGTGCTTTTTTGTTGTTGTTTTTAGGAAGCAGTGCTCCTGGTACACAAATTCAGGCCGAGCACGATCACGTCACAAGCGAAAGCATGATCCCAGCTCTCCTCTTCACTCACAGAATTTAAATACATAAAATACCCTGGTCAAAAAGCCAGAACTCCCACAACATTTATAAACTTCCATCAAAAACCCAATACCTCATCGCAGCAATGCATGCGGGCCATAGCCTCAGACAAGCGAATCATGCTTTCCAGCTGCCTCACTGTGATCCTCCAGGAGGACTTGGTCACTCCAGAGCCGTCACGCTGCCGAAGGCGTTTGTACTGCTCCACTATGAAGTCCTCAGACTCTTTAGATATCTTTGTGAGATAAGATGGGAAGACAGTTTGCCGTGTCAAAAGCACTGAAGTTTATGCTTCTGAAATTAGATAAGACTTCTGTACCAGCTACAGATTTTCTCCAAAATACTCTATTCTATCACACACAGCACACATAAATAGAATGACCATCAGATTAGAATTATATTGCAGTAACGACTGCAGTAACAGTTATATTACAGTAAGTACTATGACTCACCAATTATTATACAGATTTTTAATCAATTCTTTTTTTCTATTCCATTGACTTGCTTCTAAGCACAATTCATGCTTGTCTTTACCAGACTGTTCTGTCTGTTTACCTTTCATTCTGCATACAAAGTACTAACACTGGCTACAGCTTTGCATACATGCTTTTTAACCTGACTCTGCCTGCACATATACACATCCATCAAGAAAACAAACTACCCTCCACATGGAAATGAAATGGAAGCTTGCAAAACTCAATAAAGGGAGCTTTCTCATATGGAGTAACTTACACAAGAAAGTGGAATTACCTTTGGTTTAAACTGCCTCGCAAACAACAGGTACCTTCTGATATCATCTAATGAATAGACACGATCAACAGATTCTTCTACTCTGGCATGCAGATCCACTATGCGTCTGGCAATGGCATAATCTGTCACCTGGGACATCAGAGCTCTGTTAGATCTCTTTCACAGCAGCAGCCAAACATCAAAACAACGGCTATATTCTTCCTCCCATCCCCTTCCCTCACACTCCTCATGGCTGAGCTGGTCTTTCCAGAAGAAGGACACTCTGCCAGAAGACCCAGACAATGCCCTGAAGATTTATAGTACAAGCAAACAGCCAAGAATGAATGAAAGGCAGTTTTAGGATTTACAACCTCTTGGAATTCTCCTGGGTTACAAGTTAGCCATAGAACAGGCAGAAAGCAGCACTTTGCAGCGTGGGAACTGCTTGCTTTCTTTATAGCCTGCTCTATCTATTTCAACAGCCCCTTCTTAATTACATCATTGCGCTGAGCAAAGCAGTGGAAAGAATCGTACTGACCCACCATTAATCTCTGTATGCTCCCAAGGCAAACGCCACACAGACAGGTGGTAGCCATCTTAACTCAGTGACTAGCAGTTTGTAAAATGCCTATTGTTGAGTTTGCAGGTCAAATCATCACAAGAAGAAAAGGCAGTGTCCTTGTATTCAGCAGAGCATATTCAAATTATATTGCCAGATTTTAACTTTGCAAAGAAAAAAAGCAGAAGCAAGAGGCTCTCACAAGACCAGCTTCACCTAAAACTGCAGAGGGCCACAGAGATGGGCAGAGGTCAGGAGCACGTTATGTACGAGGGAAATGTCTGTTTACAGATGCGATGAAAGTAAACTGTTTTTGAAAGTACTATCAGAAAAGAAGCAACAGACGTAAACTGAAGTTATGATTAGATATAACTCATAGTTTAAGAAACAACAGCAACAAAAAAAATCCACACTGTAGCATCCAACATTGCTAAAGAGGCTCCTGAAGAGGCTGCAGAATGCTCAGAATTCACCAGGTCTTGGCCACATACTCAACAGTGATGTGCTGAGCAAAAGAACAGACTAGAGACCTCCAAAGGGCTTTTCTGATATCAGTTATTCTACAATTGCTCAAAGTTACCTCATTACATTCATCCACAAGGATGAAGAAGAGATCAAACCGAGACATGATGGGTGCTGACAGGTTTATATTCTGCTTCAGTGACTTAGATCTGTCATAGCGCCCGCCAACTGGGTTTGCTGCAGCCAAAATGGAGGTTCTGGCATTCAGGGTGGCCTGACAAAGAAATCAACAAACAAAAAAAAGACATAAACCACTCGCTAAACCAATGTACTGTAATTTGAAAAGATCAGTGTACCATCTTCTAGAGAACTTAATTAGCACATTACAACAAAGGCTCTTCAGAAGAGTCCAAACTCTTCTAACCAATCCTTTCTAACCAGCTTCAACATTGTATCATCCTGCCCTGATACACAGCATAATGATTCGATATTTCAACGTTATTACACACCTTCCATCATTATTGAACTTATAAGCCCTTAAAACTGCTATTCAAATCACCTTGCTTTCAAATAGTGCATATCTATGAATATTTCTACAAAAAAACAAATCTATACCATTTCAGGCTTATTTCAAGGGGGGGGATTTTCCCACACTAATTCCCATTTTCTCTTTCCTGCTCGCTGTCTCTTTTCTCCTTTCAGTAAAATATCTGATTCTTGAGGAGCACAAGGCCCAGAAACTTTGCAGGTAAATGATTTCTCTCTCCCTGCCACAGTGAGGCAGCTGCAGAGCTGCCATGAAAATCTGACAGACAACGCCAGATCAGAGTGTACCACACACACACCTGGGCAATCTTGTAGACCACACAGCCAAAGGAATAGCACAAAGTACCTTTACTCCAGCTTTAGTAATGGATATAGTCTGCTGCTCCATTGCTTCATGAATGGCTACCTGATCCCTCATGTCCATTTTGTCAAATTCATCAATGCAACACACACCCTGCAGTGAATAATAAAAAGCAGGTGGCTCATTTCAAAAACTTTTGGAACAAAAGAATCTTTAAGACAGTCTGGGGTCTTTAGTCATCAATTACAACAATTCCAAGGATGCAGGAACTGGGTTCCTGGACTCACATTATCTGCCAACATCAGTGCTCCAGCTTCAATGACAAATTCATGTGACTCTTCATCTTTCACAACAGCTGCTGTCAGACCAGCAGCACTGGAGGCTTTCCCGCTGGTGTACACAGCACGAGGACTGAACTCATCCACGTGCCTATGGAGAAAAGCAACAGTGCAGAATTGTGTTGCACGAACTTAAGCACACAGACCAAAACCTGCAGAAACACAGTAACTTTCAGGAATCACTGCTTTCAACTTCTAAAGCCAGGACTCATCCCTTCAGGAAGCAACTGATGTTTAGGCAGGTCCTCCTATCAGTAATGACAATTGAGTGAACCTTGGGAACTAATCCTTATCTAACTACAGCCTGGTTACACCAGCAGAAAAAGCAATCCAGACCTCCTCTCACAAGTTTTCTGCTGACTTCACGAGCCAACACAGCTCCTCACGGGTCAGGTAAACGTTAGTCAGCACAAAAGAAGAGCACACCACAGCAGGAAGCAGCTAGGCTGACCACAGGCAGCCTGAAGCAGCTGTACTGCCTGCAGGCAGCTTAAAGCAGCTTTTGGTGTCTGCATATTTCTGAGATGCAGTGTGTGCTGCAGGGACCTCAGCCTTGTGGAGAAAGATGCAGTGATAAATGAGCATCGTAACAAAATAAAACCATATTAAGTAGAATTTCAAGTAAAAAAAAAAAAAGATTATAGTTTAAGGTGCAGCATTATAGACAAGATTATTTCATAATTACTGTGCAGCTCTAATAGCTCTCTAGCTGAACAAAGTGATGGGACGCACCAACTTAGACTAAGCTAAAACAAGCGAGAAGAAAATAACAATTTAATTTAATATTTTGAGATGTGCTATTTTGTGTGATTTTTAGTATTCAGTGACTTTCAAAGACATAGAATAAACCATACTTTCCTAATCACCTAAACAACAACAGAAACAAACTCTTAATTCAACTACTTGTAATTACCACAGGGAACTGTTGCATTTGCTTCAACTCTATTCAAATAACTGTCCAAACAACTGGAAAATTTTCTCAACTATTTTACTTCTCTCTTCTCTGTTTAATGTAGAAAAGGCACAGTACACATCTACAGCTCTGGTCACACTGGTCAGTATTTAAACATCGAGTTTTAAAGAGATTCTTACTTTAGAAATTGACTCTTGGCTGTACTGGGATCACCAACAACACAAACATTGATGTCCCCACGCAGCGAAGTGCCCTCTGAAGTGGTCTTAGGAACTCCTCCAAAAAGCATCAGCAGGACACCACGTTTCACTTCATCATTACCTGCCCCAGAGAAAACACCCAGCTAAAAATCCACGTGCAACTACACATATTTCCTATTTTAAGGAAACTTCAAAACACTTGGGCACATCTGCTCCGAGTTTACCTGTTTCCTAAACTTCCACTAAAACTGCATTTATGAACTTGATACACCTTCAGGGAAGAAGGGCTCAGAAGGCAGCTGGATTCTTTATGCTACCACAGCTCAGAACATGGACAAAAGTCCACTGATTGAACTTCTCAGACACGAGTCCTCAAACAAGTTCTGAGCCAGAAGCAGCAGCAAACATATATGCATGCACATCTATGTACATCAATGTACAGATTAGGAACTCCTACGTCTTTTGAAAAAGGCAAATATAAAGAGTAAAGTTTCATAGTAAATGAACCAATAGCAAAACCAATCATTTTGTCTACTTGTGCAGGCCCTAATGATTTCATGTAAGTCTGCAGGAATTTGGCTCTCTGTTTTCTAGCGTAACCAGTTCTGAAGGGGAGCGTTTGAGATCAGTGATATAGAGCCTCAAGAATTCCCCAAATGGTGCTACACAGATATCAAAAAGAACTCATATGTCACAACTGAAATCCCTGAAGCTACAACTGGAGTCTTACCATGGATAGTGGGGAAGAGGCTGGTACACAGATTATGATAGAGGTTTTTATCTTGGCTCATTTCAAACACCTTTTCCCACTCTTTCACTGTCATTTGGTTTTTAATGCTTTCTGCAGTCTGTTCTTCATCTCGAAGCTCTTTTCCACCAAACTAAACAAGGGAAATCAAAAGAATAAAAATAAAACCATGACAAACACGATCATGACTGAATGCAAGTACTGCACACCAGAGCTTACACAAACTCGCCCTCTAAACTGGGTAGAAGAATGCATTTATGAAGACGAATCATAGGCTAAGGAAGTTCATCATCTTATACTCTTAGAACACTAAGAAGCACAGACAGCTCCATAGGGAGCAAATGGAGTCTAAGCTCCGTCCATGGGCAAAAAGACAAGAGGTGCTTGTTTGTTCAGAAAGTAAAAATAGAACAAAAAACCCCAGCAGTACAGCTTCCTTTGACTAAATCTTGCCTGAATCAGAACTTAAAAGATCTTCAATTGCTCTGGAACAAGGCAAGAAATTTCTACATTCTGAAAATTGTGTAATGCACACGAGGTTGGTACACATACATATTTAAAGTTTTGTACACCCTCAACCTGTAATTTGAGGTAAGAATACAGAGCAGAAATCATCAATAACTTTCTATCTATTTTATTCCCAGACTCACCCGTGGGTTTGTTGGTGCAACGTAACAGGCTAAAAAGACCAGTTTGTAGGACAGCTCCCTGACTCCAAGGGCACGAAGTCCCCGGACTCCTTCAGCTTCATAGCCCTCCGTCCCACTAACCCGTGAGCCAGTTTCTGCACGAACCCCTGCCAAGAGAATAAGAGTCAGAACAGCTGCAACCAGAACAAGCTGCACGGCATCGAGGTGATGAGCAGTCGCAACAAACCTGGTGTTGACAGCTGAGCCACATCAGGCACAACAATCAGTGATCCTGTGAAGTCACATTTGTCACCTGCTTGAGCAGATTCCACTGCTTCTGCACGCAGGATCACTTCCATGCTTCGAGGAATGCTGCCCCGGGGCAGCTCGGCCTGCGTCTCTTGAATGCGAACCTGAGGAGGTACAGAGCATTAAGCACTCAGATGTCACCAGATCTGGAAATGCTTTGAAAGCTAAGCTGCTAACAAATGCAGTAGGAAGCATTTGCTTGCAACCATCTGTTTCAATCAGGTGTCTTGGGTAAGCTTAAGAGGATTCACAGGGACCACAGTGCCAAAT